TGTGTGTGTGTGTGCGTGTGTGTGTGTGTGTGTGTGTGTGTGTGATTTGTGTCTGGTCTAGTCTAGTTATTTTTCTATATATTGTATTGGGTCTGCAGGGTTGATTTAGAGGAATAGCACTAACACAAGCACAGTCTCTTCTCTGGTTCTTTCTTGATAAATTATTATTCACAGATGAAAAGAAAGAATGTATTTCTGTTGCTAAAAAGATAATGCTGACCTGAGGATGAGAAAAAGAAACAGAGAGACAGAAAAAAAACACAGTTATCCATATAAACACAAACAGCAAGTTACATAAACACAAAGAGCTTCAGTGAACAGATGGCTGCATTCATAGTGTATGGGATTGACAACTGCATTTACTATCAGATGCGACTGTTAAATAGCTTAGAAAAGCAGCTTGAATGGCGTCATATGAACAAATCACGGTTTTGAACAATTTTGTTTAGAAAGTCATGAAAGAATATCAAAGATAGTGCCTTTTTAAATGCCAGAAAGCACCACAATTAACATGATAAAAACAAGTTAATAAATGAGTCCAACTGAGGAGCAAGCTGATGTGTCAAATGTTAATTAACCAATAGTGGCTTTTAGACAGCAGAATTTGTGTTGCACTCAGACCACGAAACAAGCTCATATCTTCGCCTCGTCTTCATCTGTAAGTAACCAGAACCCCATATAACCAGTTCTCCAGTGCGGTTCTATATACATATTAACCACTCTCGCTCTCAAAATTTGGTTTTGAGTCCTGAAAATTTTGGTTATAGAATGCAGTTGTTAATAACAAAACTGTGAGAACGTAACCATATTTAGCACTCTAAAACAGGACTAACAGCCATATCCTGCTGCTGTGTAAACACAGCCATTGATGTTTTATCAATGTGTTAGTTCATGACTGAAACCTGAAGTACTTCAGTGTAACACACTGATGCATTCACCCACACAGACCCAGTATGTGAGGAAGTGCCCTTCTATTTACAGCATGTGTTTATGTTCATGTGTGTGTACTCACATCTCTACTCAGAGTGAGGGCTGTCCACCACTATGTGTGGCTTAGGGGAGGCTGTGACACTCTTTGACACGTATGTGTTTATGGATTTCTCCTGTGAAGGTAAACAGCAATGAACATACATGATTATTCAGAAGGTGATTTCGTACATATAATAAATTATCAAAGAAATTAATGATTTATTATATTGTATCTTTTCAGTATTAACTATAACCACAGATATAATCAGTGCTGGGTAGTAATTGATTACATGTAATCTGGATTACATAATCAGATTCCAAAAAATGAGTACTCGTAACTGGATTATATTACATTTTAAAATGCTCAGATTACAGTTACTTTTTTATGGATTGCATTATTACATATTATTCATAAAATGGCACAAAATTATTGATTTTCCTTAATTATTCTTTTTTTCTCTTTTAAAGTTCCCTTGTCAAAAATCTTACTGTGTGTCAAACCATTTAACTTTGACTATATTCACAATATAGAATAGCCACGAAAATGACATGTCAATAAATTAGCGATCCATGCTTCTAAATTCAGGGGTTCCCAATTCTGGTCCTGGAGAACCCAACACTGCCTGTTTTTGAGCAGTGCAAATTAGCATAAGGTTGCACATAAGCAGAATTGATGATAATCGTGTGTGTGTGTAATCTACTAACACAGCCGCAGAATGGATTAAGACATACCTTTT